CCGGTGGTGGATCTTTGCTAACCAAGGTTTTCTATTCTGAGTGTTTTCAATATATTGTTTTCATTGCTTTATTAGTTTATTTTCTTTGATTATCACCTTCATATCAAACCCCCTTTACTTTAATTTGAACACATACATTAAACTAGTTACTCCTCGTGGGATCGATCCTTACTCCCGCTACTACGTTTGTAAGGTTTTAATTTGGGAGCCTACGACAGCTCACCAAACCCGTCCTCCATCTGCCCATCAGCGAACTGGGATGAAGCAGGCCACCCCACATAAGTATCAAGAAAGAAGGAAGACCTCGAGCCCTCCCAGAAGTGCCAACCCAGTAATCGACAAAAGACCTGGAATGCTTCCTGCCGAAGCGACTCCGATAGTAGTTAGCCAGAGGAGCAGCGACCCCAACAGTTTCCTCTCTCTTACTCGCCGGTTAGCGGGCATCAGGACGAATGAACCTTTCCAGCAGGAAAGAAAGGGAAGGCCGTCCACCCCTCGGAGGGTAGCAGCTGAAGACGAACACACACTTGTGAGGGGTTCGGCAAGGGGACAACCAGTCATAAGAACGATTGTCAACCACCGGCAAATTGATCCCGGAATAATACTAGACTGCCCGACAGCAGGCACCAATGTCGATGTTGCTCCGGATGATGGAGCCGATTTTTATGACTGTGATACGCCAAAGGATGCAATGGAGGAGGACGTGTTGTCCAGAAGCCGGCACAGTCTGGCTACGGGTTCCCCTTTGCTCAATTGAGCTTTTTCTTTCACTCTTGTTTTTTAATGAATGTCTTAGTATGGAATTGCCAAGGGGCGGCGTCTAGAGCATTTCGCCGCACTCTTAAATTTTTCTTGCATGATTTTAAGGCTAGTATTATGTGTCTACTGGAGCCAAGAGTCTCTGGAGACCATGCCAATGAGATTTGCTTTGATCTTGGTTTTGATCAATGGCTAAGAGTTGAAGCCTTTGGCTTTTCGGGTGGGTTGTGGTCTTCTGGAAAGACGTGATTCAAGTCGGGACCTGTATGACCAATCCTCAGTTTATACTACTAAAGATTATAGAGGAGAATTCACAACCATGGAATCTATCCTTTGTGTATGGCAGCCCTGATCATGCCCTTAGAAGAAACCTCTTTGAGAACTTGTCTCAGGAGGGTCTAAATATGCAAGGACCTTGGCTATTAGTTGGTGATTATAACTCAGTACTCTCTGCGGACGAAGTCTCTAATAGTACTAACTTTTCATCTTCTCGATGTGCAGGTTTTAGGAAATGGATCTTCGACGAGGGTTTAATTGACCTCGGCTTTGAGGGTCCCCAGTTCATGTGGAGTAGAGACCTAAGCGCAACTTCATTCAGGGCAGCTAGGCTTGACCGTGCTCTGTGTAATTCAGAGTGGAGAATGCGATTCCCGGATGCAAGGGTACAGCACCTGCCTATAGTTAGCTCCGACCACGCCCCCCTCCTCATAAGAACCGTGGAAAAGAAAAATTTCTAGGGCCCGAGAAGCTTTAATTATAATGCAGCTTGGTCTTTACATCCGGAGTTCCCAAGTTTTATTAAGAATAACTGGAAAGCCGAATATGACCCGGAGCATGCCAAGAAAGATCTAGCAAGTAAACTTCAGAGCTGGAATCGTAATTCGTTCGGGAACATATTCCAAAGGAAACGAAGAGTCCTAGCCAGGATTAATGGGGTTCAAAAGGCTCTCGATAATTGCCCAAGGACAGACCTAATTAGGTTGTATAACAAACTGCAAAAGGAGTTAGAAGAGATTTTGAATCAAGAAGAGCTCTATTGGTTTCAGAGTTCCTGTGAGGATTGGATAGCAACTGGAGATCGTAATACGAGATTCTACCACGCTGCGACAGCTGCCAAAAAGGCCTATGCTAGGATCACCAAGTTAAGAAATAACCAAGGGGAATGGCTGGAAACCGAGGAGGCCATCTCACGCCACATTACTGACTTCTTCACAGATTTGTATACGGAGGAGGTTAACAGCCGAGATCATACCGCCTAGAGTAAGTCATTCCCGGCCCTGCAAGAAGCCGAATGGGACTATGTGAATGCCCCTTTTACACCATTGGAAGTCAAGCAAGCATGCTTTGACATGGCCCCGTTTAAAGCCCCTGGACCAGATGGATATCATGCTGGTTTTTTTCAACATAACTGGTCGGTTGTGGGGGAGAATTTGGTATCCTTTGTGATGGATTATTTTGCGACTGGCAACCTTGCGGAGGGATGTAATGATACTGTTATAACTTTGATACCGAAAGTCCAGTGTCCAGAGAACGCGAAGCAGCTACGACCTATTAGTTTGTGTAATGTTTCCTACAAGGTAATATCAAGGACTCTTACCTCTAGACTGAAAGCAGCTATCCAGAAGCTTGTTGGCCCCAATCAGTCAAGCTTTGTTCCCGGGAGACAAATAGTGGACAATATAATCGCATATCAAGAAGTTTTGAATACAGGTAATCACAAAAAAGGAAAAGTGGGATTAATGACCCTTAAGATAGATTTTGAGAAGGCATATGACAGGCTGTCATGGAGTTTTGTCCAAGATACTCTTCAAGATGCAGGTTTCAATGAGGTCTGGATCAGACATATTATGGGATGTATCACAACAACAAGGTTGGCAGTTTCCTTAAATGGACAGCGGTCGCAATGGTTCAAGCCTTCGAGGGGTATCCGACAAGGTGATCCTATATCCCCACTAATCTTTGTGCTCTGTATTGAACGGCTAAGCCACCTAATCCATGAGAAGGTCGAAGAAGGCCATTGGAAAGGGATTAGCGTTTCCAGAAATGGCCCATGCATCTCACACCTCCTCTTCGCGGATGATATGGTGCTCTTTGGGGAGGCATCACCACAACAAGCATTGGTGATAAAGCAATGTCTAGACCTTTTCTGCAACAGCTCAGGACAAAAAGTTAACTTTGATAAGTCTCTAATGCACTTTTCTAAGAGCTGCCGATCAACGTGCAATAGCTGAGATACTCAACATCACAATTACTAAGAATCTAGGTAAATATCTGGGGGTGACCTCGCAGCACGGCAGACTGAAAAATGACTCTTTTCAGGGGATTATTGATAAGGTCCAAAATAGACTCTCAGGTTGGAAGATGAAAACTCTCACTATGGCAAGTAGGAAAGTCCTTGCCCAAGCAGTCCTCTCTGCTATACCCATCTACGCAATGCAGTCGACGACGATACCATTGGGAGCCCTTGATGAAATTGAAAAGCTAATTCGAGTCTTCTTATGGGGATGGACTGCCGATGAAAGAAAGTCCAATCTCGTGGTGTGGGATATAGTTACGAAGGACACAAGGAATGGAGGAATTGGAATTAGGAAGTTGGTTAACATGAATTCTGCCTTTATGGTGAAACTGGGGTGGAGGATACACTTGGGCGAAGAAGGACTATGGGCTCAGATCATGAAAGCTAAGTATGGGGTACAGAATCCAGACCCTAATACATGGCAGCCAAAGACAGGTATGTCTAATGCTTGGAGAGGAATCCTGAAGGCAGCACCAACTCTTATGAAAGGCCTCAAAAAAATCGTTGTGAATGGCAGAAAGACCCTCTTTTGGATGGAACCTTGGATCGAACAGCAGCCCTTGATCAATTTAGTTACAATCAATTTGCTGTTACCAACTTTGTATGCCCGAGTCTCGGAATACTGGGAGACCTCCAAAGGTTGGAAATGGGAAGAGTTAATGGACCTTCTGCCAATTCAGGTATTGCAAAAATTAGAAGCTTTATCTTAACGGACAGTAATGACGTGGAAGATACTACTGGGTGGGGATGCAGTTCCACCGAGGAATTTTTGGTGTCTTCGGCATATTCTTTAATATCCAATCCACAATTCCAACCTGAGACGCGCAAATGGAGTAACATCTGGAAACTGGAGGTCCCGAGCAAAATGCAATTTTTTCTTTGGCTAGTTAGGCACGACAGGATCATGTCCAATGAAAATAGAGCCAAAAGAGGATTCACAGATAATAGCAACTGTGACTTATGCGGAGATCAAGTGGAATCAACGGAGCATATCCTTCAAGCTTGGCCTATTGCTAGACCAATCTGGGAAGCAGTTATGCCTAACACAGGCAACATTACCCATGCCTCGTCTTTTTTGGAATGGTTTGACGCAGGGGTTGAAGGTTGGGGTTGTAACAGACGAAAGCATAACAACAAGATCATCTTTGCCTTGTCAATTTGGTGGTTATGGAGATGGAGAAATGACAGAGTATTCAATGGTAAGAACTTAAGTGTTAATCAAAAAGTCTACTGGATCCACACACAATGCAGAGAAATCAATGAGGCCTTCAACAAAATCGGTATGATGGGGCCAAGGGCGGCAACGCGCAAGTGGAAACTCATCAGGTGGACCAAACCCCCAAACGGATGGTCGAAGGTAAACATCGACGCATGCCTTAACATCACCACAAATTAGGCTAGGTGTGGTGGGTTAGTCAGGAATGATCAAGAAAGTTGGGTTAAAGGCTTCACATATGCAGTTGGGGTTTGCTCGATTGATGCCGCCGAAGCCTGGGCACTCCTTAGAGGTATCCAGTTAGCCACTGCCCTGGGATTGAAAGAGGTTTGCTTCGAAAGAGATTCCATGAGTATCGTCAAGGCAGTCAACCAGGATGGGGTCATTGATAATGTCGCAAGGAACATCATTCATGAATGTAAGCGAGAACTCTGCAATATTGCTAGTTGGACAGTATCTTATGCACCGAGGGAACAGAACCGTGCTGCAGATTGCCTAGCCAATTCAACCAATGCATTTGCTGGCCTCAAGATTTATGATGTTTCACCAGAAGAGCTCAAACAGATCCTAGAAGAAGACAGAGTTGGTATACCAGAATGGAGACAAATAGATAGTCCCCTTATGTAATTACCTGGGTTTCCCCCTTCCATATTTTCTAAAAAATACATAATTATGATTACTGCGTTTCCTATTTCTATATTTCCTCATTTCCCTTTCGATGCAACCTCGTGAGCAAGTATATAAATTATAAACATTTTTGCCATTTGAGAACAAGAATAACATAAGAGCTAAATGGACATTTCTGCCCTCTAAGGATTCATTTCACATTTTCACAGCCCGCCATTAAACTTTTGCTTCTACTACACATATAAAGCACTTAATTCTGTCTCTAATCATTTCCCACCTCCACTCAAACCTTACTTAATTCCTAAACCAACGAAATATGATCATCAATCTTCAGAACAAAGAATCCCAGTTTATGATTATTGCAATTATAAATGCGTTTAGCCCTATTTTATTGGTCATTTGGGTGAAATTAATCTTGTGTCTTGAGTGTAGAGGACGGAGATGGAGGTGCAGAAAACGAAGCCCATGACGCTCCATCAATTGTCATTTGAGCGAAACAACAGTTTTGTCAATGCCTTACAGGTTGAATTTTCATCTGCATTCACAAATACGAACTTAAGATCTGGTTTAGGTTACTTATTCGCAGTTGAATAGTTCATGTTTGACTTTCCCCTGCATATTAATCTTCACTTCGTCTACTAACTACTGCAATTTCTCTGTCATCAGCTTTATTTTTTCGAATAATTTTTTTAAAGACAATATTTTAATTCTGAGTTGGGGTGTCAAATGAGCTTAAATCCGTGGACCAATTCTAAATCCTCTCGCGGTGGGACAGGTTAAGGTTTAAGACTTTTTCTGGCATGCCAAAATGTGGGCCTCGTGGTCTTGGCCCATGCGAGTTGGCAAGCTACGCTGGTTAGCTCACATGGGCTAACCCACGGGCTTTCAAATAAAATATATATATATATATATATATATATATATATATATATATATATATATATATATATATATATATATATATATACTAGTTTTTTACGCGCATTGCGCGATTGAGATAATGCCCAATGTTTTTTTTTTTAAAATAAGTACTTTAAAGTATATCAAGGCAATATTATATTGGAATCGTTCATGTGATAATTGAATGTTGAATTTGCGTATTTAAATATGTAATTCCAAGTTTACACATGTAAGATAATATAGTCAAGATTGATTATAATTGTCAATAAAATAATTGTATAGGCATGGTTGAAATCAAATACGGGACATAAGGGAGAGCAAATACAAATTAGGGCATAAAATATTAAATATATACTAATATTGTTTGAGGAGATTCCGACATTAGGATTTGTGGTTAAGTTCTATTAAGACTTTAATATTAGAATTAGATTAATGGTGTAGTTATAATTCTATATTAGACTTTAATATTAGAATTAGATTAATGGTGTAGTTAATCAATTGATGAATTTGAATTTTAAATGTAAAGAATTTTTATATTGAAGAAAAATAAAGACAATATAACTAATGAAATTATTTCTCTTATTTAATTTATTGATAATGAATATTTTTTTTTTGAATAAAGGTATTGTGGACACATAATTCTAAATTAAAGAAATGCATATGTATTTTTTTTTGTTGTAACTACTAAATTATTATTTATATAATTTAATAAGAGTAAAATAGAGTACTAATTATGCCAACTTTGATTGGAATGGGGTTTGAACCTAAGACTTTTTTTTTATTGAAATCAATAAGTTAACAGTGAACTAACAGCAATTCTTAAAATTTTAACGGAATTAGGAATGGTGTGTGTGTATTTTAGGAAATTTTAGTGTAAAATTTAAATCTGATCAATCTTTTAATCAATTTGAGTCATTCATTTGATTAAAATCTGTGACCGCCATTTTTTCTACCCATTATAGGTCTAACTCTCTTGGGCTCTTATTAGTATAGTAGATATATATATATATATATATATATATATATATATATATATATATATATATATATAACATTATAAAATTTTTAAAAATATTTTTTTTTTAGTTTTTGAAGTTAGCCCTGGGGACCCACGAGCCCGTATAAGGTTGGCTAGGGTTGAAGAGTTTTAGCCCGTGTACTTTGTGGGCCAGCTTGCAAAATTTTACAAAAATTTCAACTTGCAGTGGGGCAGGCCTAATGCAGTGGGCTAGCCCGCATTGACACTATTGATTCTGTGGGTGTTATAGATTCGGTTGTTATATCATGCACCGCGCGTCAGATACTACAGTGTCTCTAAACCGACATTGTTTCACGTATTATTTTTATATTATCAAATGAAACTACAGTTATATCAAAATGATACTGTAGTTGTGGTGAAATGAAATTACAGTATATATAAAATGAAACTGAATAACATTTCACATATTTGAGTGTATATTGTACAATGAAACTGTAATTATATAGAAATGATCATGTAGTTGTGTTTTAATGAAATTATAGTGTATATAAAATAAAATAAAATAACATTTTCACATTTTGAGTGTATAAATATTGAATGAAACTATAGTTATATCGAAATGAAACTGTAGCTGTGTTGAACTGAAACTGCAGTGTATACAAAATGAAACTGAAGAACAAAGTTATTTTTTGCGAAGATTCTGTTTCTTTTCATTAAATAAAACGACGTCGTTTTGACAGTGTCGGTTTAGACACACTGTAGTGTCTGACGCGCGGTCGGTGCATGATTGATCATGCACTGTGGTGCATGATATAGTTTGCCTTATAGATTAGAGTCTTCTTGATTCCTCACCTCCAATATGAAAATGGTGATGAAAAAGAGCTGAAAAACGCTTACCCGCGACATGGCTCTGATATATACCCTTTGTTAGATCAAGTTTTTGCCATTACGTCAAAAGTTAGGCGCAACTTTATTTCTTTATAGACTGTCATCACAATTTCAAGAGGTAAAGCGCTGTACTTGACCCTTTACCGACCCTACCTAATAATTTTCTAACCACCAATTGATGGATTTAACCCTTTACCGACTTCCGCCCAACATGTTCATTGTTCTTCTGAAACGGCTTTGATGGGATAAGCACTTGTGCACTACTTAAGTTATTTTGACTCTTGTGTAATGCCTGCTTCAGGAGCTCAAGAACTTGAGGCCGCAACTTTATTCTGCTGCAGAGTTTTGTGAAGAATCATACCTTTACAGTGAGCAGAAACCAATGTAAGATAAACAAGCTCACTCATTTTCCTGTCTTATTATTGAATTATGCGCTTGATAGTCAGTCTATCTGTGTTTACTCATCTCAAGTAGTATATAAAAGAGAGACTATAATGCTGTTAGAGCTCTTGTCAACTAATATATATCAGTCTGCATTTAGTAATATCTATCTATGATAATGCTCTCCATCTTACTCTGTATGAACTTTTAGGGTCTTTATCAACCTAAAAGATTATGCTCTATGATAATGCTCTCCATCTTACTCTGTATGAACTTTTAGGGTCTTTATCAACCTAAAAGATTATGCTGCTAGAGCTCTTGTGAATGCCATTGATCACCTAGGCACTGTTGCTTACAAATTGTGTGACCTCCTTGAGCACCAAAGCTTAGATATTTCAATCATGGAGTCGAAGATCGCATGTTTAAATCAGGTAATGTATTAGTCCACATTTTTCTTAAAGAATTAATGCAATCATGGGCTGAACTTAACGCTACGGTTTCTGCAGAAATTTCTAACATTCCAAATGTATGCGGTTAAAGAAGGCCTCAGGAGACATCAGCTACTAGCAATCATCCCGAGGCATCACAAACATTATACTTTACCAAGTATGACTACTTGTGTATCTAAAAGTACTTGTGATAAGAAGAGTTGCATATCCATTTAGTCTAATTATATGATTGACTTTTGAGCTAGATTCTGTCAGCAAGAAAGTGCAGTTTAGCCCACAGATTCAGATGGATCCTGGGCAACATATACAAGCAAGTTCATTTCTTTGTTCTTCAGGTATGGTTGACTAGTAGTCTTATGTTGTCTGCACAAAAATGTCAAAAACTATCTTATGTGCCATAGATGAAGGTACCCCTGCTACAAATTCTCTTTCGATCCCGAGGAATCTAGCATTAGAAACCAAATCAGCTTTGAAAGAGGCTTTGTATGCATTCACAAGGTTAGTCATATATCTTATTATATATATACACCTTTCACCTGATAAGTGAAATAACTTCCTATCTTTATACCAATATATATAGTTTCTGGTGTGCTTAAAAGATTTTGATGTTTCTTTCCCTCTACAGTTGCGAGGACATAAAACTAAAAGGTTCTGAAAGAGCATCAGAAACCAAGTCAACTTTGAAAGAGGCTTTGCGTGCATTATCCATGAGGCTAGTCATGCCTGCCTTTCTGCCGATAAGTGAAATAACTTGCTATCTTAAGTTGCTGGAGACTTTAAGAGGGTATGGTATAAAAGATTTTGATGTTTCTTTCCCTTTACAGTTGTGAGGACACAAAAGGTTCTGAAAGAGCATCCGGTGCGCCCAACATGTTAGGTATGTATGTAAAGATTCTTTGCTCCCTATAGCAGATCATGCATGCGCTTTCAATTTCAGAATTACAGACCTGGCCCCTTTGTCTCTTCAGTTTTATTGACAGATAGTGAAGAGATCAATAGGGCACCTCAATCAACAAATGTGGATTCTGCATCTAGTGTAAGGATGCAAGCGTTGGGCCTCTTGGGGCGGGTAATGCTAAAGCACTTGATAGCTTGTTATATGTACTAGATTCTGGTTATTAATGGCTCGATCTGATCCTCGTGTTTCTGCAGATTATGTGTGCATGCGTGATACATGAAGCTATTGCCTGAAGAATCGTATATCAGTAGTATCTGCCCAGCTTATTGCTGCTCGATCAGCTCTGTATAATCAGTACATTATATTCAAAGGAATCCCATTTTGTTTTGCAGAAATCAATGTTGCCTTACAGATCATTGGAAGATTGTCCAGGCACGCATTCCTTCTGCTTTCTTCTTCAAGCAGAACAGATCAAAATTGGAGACTGGTATTGCAATGACATAAAGTGTTATTGCCTTAGGAATGCAGGATACATAGTACTGCTTTCTGTCACTTCTTTCAAAGATTCTTGGTTAATAATATCTATAATTTTTTTCTGTGTATTTGCAAATGCTTATTTGCACTACTTTTCTCCTCGATCTGTGTATTGCTCTAAGATTAAAGAGTTTATAGCAATTGGTGTTAACTTTTTAAAAAGACTTGAGTAATGGTCCTTCGAGTATTGTGATATTACCAGCAAACGTCCTCCGAATATAAAATGACCAGCAAACGTCCTCGAGTATCAAAAAGTAACCATCAAATGTCCTTTGAGTATAAAAATAAATGACCATATGTGGTCTTCGGTTAGCAAAGGCATGAAAATGACATTAAAAGTTGGGTACACTCAATTTACCCTTCAATTTAATGCCACTTTCACTGTTTCACACATTTGCTAACGGAAGACTACGTGCGGGTGGTCACTTTTTGATACTCAAAGGACGTTTGCTGGTAATAGCAAAATACTCGAAGGATCATTAAATGTATTAACTCAAAACACTTTCTAGAACCTTAAACTTACCACTCAATCACTTAATGTAATCCATTTTATTTAAATATTACTAAAACAAATTAATAGAGTTGTCAAATTAGGTGCAGAGCAGAGAGCATTTCTGGTTTAACATGATGAAGAAACATAAGAGTATATTGATGAATGGAATCACTTACAGCTCAGGTGTACAAAGCTAGATTATATACAAAAAGCTAACCAAGGACCTTGTGGTCCAATGGTATTTGATTGCTCTTTTAAGTGGGAGGTGATAGGTTCGAGTTTTAGTGGAGGCGATTAGTAGTTTGGGTATTCCCTTCCATCGTAATAAAAAATATACAAGAATATACAAGAATTTAAGAGGCGAGCATGTATCATATGCACCAAACATAAGGAATTGAACCTATTCTTAGACAAACACAACCCTAAGGAATTGAACCTATTCTTAGACAAACACAACCCTTCGTGTTTCAACACTCCCCCTCAAGTTAGAGCATGTATATTGCACCAAACATGTTATAAATATATTCAAACTTAGCACTTCTTAAATATTTAGTAAATATATCATTTAATTGGTCATTCGAGCCTAGAACAATAGTAATATCTCTAGATGCAACTTTGTCTCAAACAACATGGTGGTAATTAAATTACTATTGGGTGTATGGATACTAGTCTGGCAGCTAGGGAATGAAGGACGGGGGGGGGAGGGGGGAGGATCCCGAGCTTATGCTAAAAGTCCCCTCCCACAAGCATTATTAAATGTGGTATTTATAGGGACTTAGTAGACACATGCTAAGAAGTCGGCATGTGTGACATGTGTTCCTCATGCACTCAGTGGTCTCGGAGGCTAAGGAGGGATGTCCACGTGTGATGAAATATCTGATTAACCATATTTGGTGCACTTGGGATGAGCGTAACTATTTATATTTGTCTTTTAGTACTTAGCACATGGGCTCGGGAACCTTAGCTGGGCAGTAGGGTCGGGACCGAGCCCATGATGCGCTACACAGTTAATACGGCATATAATGAGATTGCATTTCGGGTTGGGTTGGGTCTCATTACTTAACCGGGCCGGGTCGGGGACTGTTCCTTGTGTCCCAAGCGGTACATACCGAGCACTTATATGGCAAGTTGTCTAGAGTATATTTCCCATCAAATGTGTTTTGTTCTTTCATGAAAAATTAAATTTGACGCAATACATAGAGCTGCTTGATTATGACAAATGAGCTTTATGGACTCCATTGTACAAATTAACTTCAATTTAGTAAGGAGGTTTTCAAGTACAATAAGTTCACATGTCCCGAAGGTCATGGATCAATATTCAGTTTCTGCACTTGATCGAGAAAAAACATTTTGCTTTTTAGTTTTTCAAGAGATTAAGTTGTCACGAAGGAAGATGCAATATCATGATGTTGGCTTTCTATCCCATGAACATCATGCCTAGTCTACATTTGTATAACAAGCCAGTGTCTGGCGATAATTCAATTAGCAATGAATCCCACTCTCATGGCAATTCAATCCTAATTGAAACATTTTATCAAACACATAACCTATAAGTCTTCTTCCAATCTCATTTTTCCAAAGCAAACTTAGAATTGAGAGAAGTGTATGTTGCAAGAATTCTCAAGCATAATTGGACCCTAATTATACAGAACACTTAACACACAATAAGAACCATAACCTACTCAATACACATTCACTTAATGCATTTGGACTTATAAAAGAATCTATAACAAGAGAAAACTCAATACAAATCTCAATAGAAAATCTAGCTATTCATGATTTGACTTGCAAACTAAAAGAACAATGAAACTACATGTATTGAAAGCACAAAGGAGATCGAAGGAATTGAAATGTAGGTAATGAAAGCTTAGCTCTTATCCAATGTTGATTGAAGATATAAGTTTGAATTGAAGTTGTAATTGAATTGCAATATTAAATTGAAATCTAATATAACCTAACCTAAAGCTATTTTAAGCGGAGAGAAGTTAAAAAGCGAAAATATCAAAAATGCCTCTAAAAATAACTATTAATCCCCATTTATAGTGGTTAGAATCGTACCTCATTATAGAATATTAGGTCCGCTCATGATCAATCTCAGGGTCATGAATTCGGTCGTGACAATTTTATGTGTGTAACAATTTTGATTTCTAAGCCAATTTTTACCTTGTAGACCTTTGAATTAGACATTGTAATCTTCATAAAAGTTGTAGCTTTTTGCATTATATTTTCAAGGCCATTTGAATCACTTGATTTGGACTATATATACTACACTAAGATATGATTCAAATGTCAATACATCGTCTAGTAGATCGAGCAAAACAGGGTCGAGTTTATCACGCTAACAGTCACGGTCATGAGTGTCAGCGTGACGCTTTGTCCTCACTCCAATTTCGAAGGGGGGAGCTCCTATAGAATCCTATCCCCATTTTTCTTTTGCTAGGCCCAAAAAAAAAAAAAAAAAAAAAAAAAAAAAAAAAAAAAAACTCACTTTTTTTACGATTATAGGGTTTATTTGAATATGAAATCCAATCTTGGAAATACAACATCCCACTTTTTTTTACTACCCATAAGGTTTCGATACATTTCGCAATCGAGAAATTTCTACGGATGCGGGTTCTATTCTAGAACAATTAGCCGATCTAGATTTACGAATTATTATAGAGAATTCTTTACTAGAATGGAAAGATTTGGGGGAAGAAGAGCACATAGGGAATGAATGGGAAGATCGAAAAGTTGGAAGACGAAAGGATTTTTTTGGTTAGACGTATGGAGTTGGCTAAGCATTTTCTTCGAACAAATATAGAACCCGAATGGATGGTTTTGTGTCTATTATCAGTCCTTCCTCCTGAGTTGAGGCCAATCATTCAGATAGATGGGGGAAAACTAGCTAATGAGCTTGGATATTAATGAACTCTATCGAAGAGTTATCTATCAGAACAATACCCTTACTGATCTATTAACAACAAGTAGATCTATGCCAGGAGAATTAGTAACTCCAAAATGCATGTTTCTTCATTTTCTTTACTCCTTTGTGTTCTTGGATTATGTTATGGTACTTCCAACTCACTTTTTTTTTTTTTTAAAACCTTTTAGGACTCTTGAAACACATCTTTGTGCCAATATGACTTCTAAAAACATCTAATTGATCTCTAATTTACATTATTATAAAATTAATGTTCTTCCTTAACCTCTCACGACTCTCGAAACTCACCTTTGTGACAATATGACTTCAAAACTGTTCTCAAATGTACATTATTTTAAAATAATGTCTCCAAATGACCTAAATGACACGTAAGAATCAAATAAGAACAGAACATGCTTATTAACTTCAAATTAGCAAAGACCCGTATGAATTTGATATTAAATATGAACATAAAAATAGACTAAATAGTAAGAATGGGCACTCAACATCTACACTAGTTTTTTTTTTTTTCATAATTCAATCAATCACTTATTTTCATCTCCAATTACATTATTAAATTTCTCTCAATTTTATGTTCTTTCTTAATTATAATTTATTTTTTAATTTCTTTTCAAGGGGTAAAAGAATATAAAATTATCCCAACTTTTTTTTTTTAAACCAACTTATGAAAAGAGAAGTACAAGTTTCTACATTAATATGTTTCAAACTATTTTTAAGATTTAGTAATCTATACTATTAATATAAATTGTCAAAATTAAAAAGGAAAAAATTAAAGCAAAATAAGATATATGAGTATGTCACATTGCTAAATATATATATATTTTTTTAAGAAGGAACTCTTATTAAAAATCAAAACAATGTCTTGCCAAGGCTCAAAAAGTAACCAAGGCTACAAAGAGATAAAAGAATAAAGCAAAGAGGCCTAAGGCTAACTAATAAAGGAAATAAACTCTAAACCACCAAGTGGGCCCAACACCCATACAAACCACCTGTACCACATGCAAAGCTGGACAATTCCTGGGCGTCATGCCCTACACCAAGGGTGGGAACGGTGCTCCAAAACCAAAGAAGGACTAGTTTCACCCTCAAGCGTCAGGTCAATCTCCCGCGGTACAGAGCTCTGCATTTTTATCCGAGGGGACCTATGTGACCATCCACAGAAGCAATGAAACCAGCCTCCCGAAACCCTACCACCCTTATGCGTTGGACAGATCCCCTCCGGTACAGATCTCTGCATTTTTATCCGGAGGACCGTGAATAGTCCGCCACATAGCAATGGTTCTCACCTCCACCCACCCTTGGAACCCAGGCCACCCTCGTACGTACAGAGCTCTGCAGTTTATCGCAGAGGGCTTCAACGGTCCAAAGTCCCAAGCGATGGCTCCCTAACCACTGATGCCAACGTTGCTAAATATTTTACTTTCAAAGAAGCATAGACTCCTCTATCAAATGGGAACTTCATGCCCCCATTCACATAGTATCAATCATGCACTGGATATCGCTTTTTAAATTGAAGAGAGTTTAATTTCACTCTCCTATTTTGTCAAAATATTGCTCTAAGTAGCATTCATTTTGCATTAAAAACACATTTATTTAGGCATTTTACTTGAAAAATTTGTTATTTATTTACTTGAAATTATAATATTTATACATTTACTTGTCTACAACCCAACCTGTAAAGATTATTTGCATGCATTAACTTTTAAACCTATTTATTATTGACATAACATAAGCATTTATTCACACGACTACAATGTAATTAGGTTGAAATAAGCAAGAGTTACATATTCAAGCCCATAGGAAGCAATACAACTCTAATCCAAACCCCTAAATCTACTACTCACGATCGCAATACATCTTATCAAGAACAAAACACATAGGCCCTATTTGGTAAAATAGTTAGTCTATAGGTCAATTATATTTTAGCTTATTTCACCAGTATTAGTTGTTTGACTTGGTTTAAAAATTAATATAAGTGTTTAGTTAATTAGTTTTTTGTACTCCAAAATGTTAAAATTCAAAAAGCTACTCAAAATAACTTTTACAAACAGCTTTTTGATAAAAGAAATTATATCAAATAGCTATTAGCTAACAACTAATTTACCAAACACCTTTCTACAATCAGCTAATGTTATTAACTAGTTATACCCTCTAATTAACCTAATCAACTAACAGCTAAGATCCATTTAGCAAACAGGGTAATAAAAGATAGCATAGCATAAATGAAGGCAAATAAATTAAAGAGAACTTCCCTATTTCATCATCTAATCTACACTGGTTGCTTTAATTTTTTTTTTCATAAATCAGCCAATCACTTTTTTCATTTCCTATTACATTACTAAAATTTATCTCATCACTTATGTTCTTTAATTTCTTAATTATCATTTATTTTTTAATTTCTTTTCGAGGTGATAAAAGAATATAAAATTATCTCATCAACTTATTAGGTATGAAAGGATCGGAGAAGTAAAAGTTTCAATAATGTACTGTTAACATGTTTCAAACTATTATTAAGATTTAGTAATCTATACTATTAATATAAATTGTCAAAATTAAAAAGGAAAACATTAAAGCAAAATTAGAGATGTGTATGTGTATTTCACATTGCTAATTTACTTTGAAGGAAGCATGCATCATGGACTCTCATTCAAATATAGTATCAATCATGCACTGCGGGCATATTGTTTTTTGAATTGAAGAGAGTTTCACTCACCTATTTTGTTAAAATTTTGCCCTATGTAGCATTTGTTTTTAATTGGAAAAACATTTATTTCGAAATTTTACTTGACAAATTAAAGTTGTTAAAGGGATCAATATTTGGTAATAAACTAATAATTATATTAATTAAGCCCCAAATGAAATGATCTATCAAAGTACCTTCAAAATTAAACATTAATTATCTAAATAGAGCTTAGGCAAAACTCTCTCTCTATATATTTAAAACATTTCAATGATAAAGATTATTTGCATGCATTAACTTTTAAACATATTTATTATTGGCATAACCAGTGTTGAAAAAATTGCGCATAAGCGGTCCCCAGGCGCCTAGTTATTTTTTCAACCTTGGGCATAACATAATTAAGCAATTAGTAATATTATTTTTGAATGCTACTGACTTTATGACATTATAATATATCTGTTCAACCCCTGATGCTCGATCTCATAATCTCTCACATGAGAAAAGTCATTACATGTCATCTGAGCACAAGGACTGCAATGGAATTAGGTTAAATATAAAATAGAAATAATTTAATTTTGTTGTTGGAAATGTCACTCTAGACCCCAAACTTGAACTACGTATGCTGATATATGCATGGCATTATTTCTCATTTTAAAGTAACTGAATTGAAGGACGATCATAACTAACGGTCCATGAAATGAAATATCTGGGTTTTAATTTGTTGAATTTATCGTCGTCACTTTTTCAACTTCCAAATCTCGTCATTTATCGTTGACGGGCGCGCGCTCTGATCTGAGTGTCTATAAATACTATATTAACTCGCAAGCTAAGCTAGCTAGCTAGCTAGCGTCAAATTAAACCTCTACTTCTCTTCTTGAAACTACTCTGATCTTCAAGAAAGGATCGGAGCTTTAATTTTCTGCATTTCATTCGCACTTTCAATTCGTTCTGGGCAAGAAATGGCAAGGCGGGGAGGTTATCGGCATCCTCAGTCCCCGCCCCAGGCGGCGTTGCCCCCTCGTGCTCAGAGGAATCGGAGGTTCGACTGGAAGTTTTCACTATTCCTTTGCTTCCTAGTGGTAGTGGCCCTCATATCTTATCTCGCGCCCTTATTCTTCTCCGTTCCTCGCCCGGAAAGACCTGATGATTTATCCAAGTTTGAGCCTTATAATCGCATTGATAAGTTGAGGCGGGAAAATTCCAAGTTTTACACACTCCGCTCTGTAAAACTCAAACTTGCTTTGGTCAGTTAATTTAATCGATCATTTTCTTCTTCACTTCACTTTCTTGAGAATTGCATCCTAATCCTGATTATTATTCATTATATCTAGGTTTTTACACATCTCTTAGTTGATCCATATCAAGATTTGATGATTAATTTTGCATTATCTTTGAAGGAGATTGGCCATGAATTCCAGGTAGATAGTTTTAATTTGCATGCCAAGTTGAATTGGGTGAATAAACATATATGCATGTATCCATCTCTGATCTAATGGTCTTAACATTATATCTAATCAATCTAGGTGCTCACACTTGAAGATGGTCCTCTGAGTACTGTATGGAGAAATGAAGGAATTTCTGTCAGTAACATAGATACTAATGGAAGTCTGAAAGTAGATTGGCTAAAGTATGTCTCCATCTGATCTGCTTCATTTCTATATATATCATTTGCTAGTTTTATTTTTTGAACTAAAGACTAGTGCATTGATTGTTTCTTGTTTTCTTTCGTTGAACACCCATTGCAGAAATGAGAAACATTCAATTCTTCTGTGAATTTAATTTTAATCTGCTTATTGATTGATTCTATATATATCATCTATATATCTATCAAATTGAATTGAGCTTTCTTGTTAAGTAACTTTATTGTTTAATGGTTTTATGCAGCTATGATGCAGTGCTTCTGAACTCATTTGAAGCTGTGGATATCCTGTCTTGGTAAGAAACAGATGAGAATATATGCTAGCAATTGATTGTTTTGAAGTATCTTAATTGAAATAGATCTATCTCTTGTATGTGTTCTTTATATGTATGTTGATTTTAGTTGTTGTTTTAGTGGATTGAGTGTACGTTTTGTGGTTACTACAGTCTTATGAAGGAACCTTTTAAAAGTGTGGCTGTTATATGGACTGTCGGTGAAAGTGCACTTGCTGGCCGACTGGAAAAATATAACTCAACTGGCCAGAATATGTTAGCTGATAGTTGGAGAAAAGTTTTCGGGCGTGCCAATGCTATTGTGTTCCCATACTACAATTTGCGGGTACAGATTTTGAAAAATTTATTAACTTAACTTTTTGGAATTCGATCTTCGTTATATAACTAATTTGGGTTTGGCTATTCTTTTCAGATTGCATATTCAGTATGTGATACTGGAAACTACTATGTAATTCCAGAGTTTCCTATTGAACCACAAGATGTTGATGATTACATTGTGAGTAATTCGGAAATATATGCTAAGATGGGGTGTGGGCCACAACACTTGATCATTGCAATTGTGGGAAGCCAACGACCGTACAAGTATCTCTGGGTCGAACAAGCCCTTGTTTTGCAGGCTCTAATACCAGTTTTGCAAACCATTGACAATTTGAAGAATCCTCCTCTCAAAGTAATTGTCCTTTCAAACCAAACTTCCTTGTTGTGGGAATCTAACTTCACATTCTCGCTTAATCAGACCGGAGTGGTGAAGCGTGTTGCAGCTTCAGATGAATTAGATGCAGAGAGGATTTTGAAATTGAGTGATATTGTGATATATGCATCAGTCCGCGAACAGCAATCTTTTCCATACACTTTGCTAAAAGCAATGCTCTTTGGGAAACCTATAGTAGCTCCAGACCTGTCAATTATCAAGAAACATGTATGTAGGATTTTGATTTTGATTTTGTTTTTAACTTCAATTTGTGCTTCAATTCATGATGATTTTTATATTTGCCAGGTTGTTGATGGAGTCAGTGCCTTTCTTTATCCAAAAGAGGACATCACGGTTCTAACTGAGGTAATGGCCCGTGTAGTTTCGAATGGAAAATTGTCACGTGTAGCTCGAAAAGTTGCACTTGTTGGAGAGCATATAGCCCTGAACATTATGGTTCCGAAGAGTATCCAAGCGTACGCTTTGATATTGGAAAACATTATCCCACCTGGAGTTGCAGGAAAGTCTCTGGCTCTCCCGGTCCCTAAGTTTCTAGTGCCAAAATGGAAGTGGCATCTTTCTGAAACAGTAAATAAGTATGTGAGCACAAGATTTTGGACCCATAGCATTTTAAACAAGTTTGAGAAGCAATTTAATCCTATTCAGACAGAGAGTTCAATGGATGAGATGGACAACATTATTATGAATCGTTTCTTGGATGAAGAAAAAGAGTTACAAATTGCAAATAGCATCGAGGAAGCTGAGGAGGAAGAGGTAACTAACTAACTGATTCTCTCTCATTTTCGTTCTTTCCAGAATAGAATTATATTTGGATTTGACGGATGCAGATAGAAGGCAGAAATGTTCAACGAAGGCGAACATGGGAGGAAATAAACAAACTTGTAAAAAAGGCTGAGCGTTTAAGGAAAGTTTTGCAAGAAAGGGGGTATGGGGAGCTTGAAAGGACAGGCCAACCATTGTGCATATATGAACCTTATTATGGAGAGGGGACCTGGCCATTTTTGCACAATTCATCACTCTATCGAGGACTTGGGCTTGTGAGTAGTCATCGTCTTGTTCTTCGTCTACTATATATATATATATATATAGTACTTGTCTTAACTGTTGATACATTTAATTTGCTGGCAGTCTACTAAAGGACGCAGACCTGAATTTGATGACATTGATGCACCTTCTCGTCTTCCACTACTGCGTGACCCTTATTACAGAGATGTCCTTGGCGAATATGGAGGCTTCTTTGCCATTGCAAACCGGACTGGTCGCATACATAAACATCCTTGGATAGGTTTCCAATCTTGGAGAGCAACCGCAAGAAAGGTTGGTTCGTTTGTTACTCTTAAGTTTGATATTTTTCTTATAAACTACCTACCTAGCTTATCAGAAAAATATTTATTGAATTCTGCCTGGATTAAGCAGGAATCTTTGTCTAAGCTAGCAGAAACATCATTGTTAGAGGCCATTGAAGCACACAGATATGGTGACGCTTTGTTCTTCTGGGCTCCCATGGACAGGGATCCCAGAAACCCACAAAGACAGGATTTCTGGTCATTCTGTGATGCTATTAATGCTGGAAACTGCCAGTAAGACTCATGACATAAATTTTTTTTATTTTTTCTGAAATATCAAATATGTCTTTCTTATTAGGGGTTTCTTTAATTTGTTGAATGAAGGGATGCTTTCTCTAAGGCTATGAAGCAGATGTATGTTATTAACCTGCAGAATTCGATTGTTGTTCCTCCTATGCCTTCTGTTGGTGGCAATTGGTCTGTCATGCATAGCTGGGTTTTACCAACAAGATCCTTCCTAGAGTTTGCAATGTTTTCTCGGTATGGTAGATACATACATTCTTAATTAAATCTTGGTTTTTAAATTGCACGTACGATACATATAATCTATCTGGCATTATATTGCAGGATGTTTGTGGATGCACTTGATTCACAGTGGTATGATCAACACCATCAAAGTGGACATTGCTATTTGAGTGCAAGAAACGAGGACAAGCATTGCTACTCTAGGATGCTGGAGTTGGTCATAAATGTTTGGGCGTATCACAGTGGCAGAAGAATGGTGTATGTAGACCCGAAGAGAGGGACGATGCAAGAAGAACACGAATTGGAGAGGCGGAGAGGGAAAATGTGGGTGAAATGGTTCGACTACACCACTCTAAAACAGATGGATGAAGAACTGGCAGAGGATGCAGACATTGATCCACCGGAGAAGCGGTGGGTATGGCCATCCACAGGTGAAGTGGTGTGGCAAGGTGTGTTGGAGAGGGAGAAGCTTGAAATGAAGGAGAAGAAAGAGTTGCGGAGGCAGCAGAAGGAGGAAAAGAGGGCAAGAATGAGAGAACGGCAGAGGCACCGCGAACATTTTCAGAAATCATTGGGGGGAAAATATGTGAAGCCACTTTAGCTGGATGCCTATATATACATACCACTAGTAGTAGTTCAGATGATACATACTTAGATTAGTTAGTTAGATATATAGATTCGATGATGCATACTTAGATTAGTTAGTTAGATATACAGATGATTTTCCTTGTGAATGATTAGTTTCGTTGATATGATGGTGCCAAAGCTTCAAGCATTTTAATATGATGACTAGCTAGTGTTTGGAATGAAACTGCAGGCTGGCTAGATTGCATCAAATTCTAAACTACACATATATATGCTAAAATAAGTAGTTTTACTATATATTTATGGGATTGCTAATATAGGTAGGCATAGATAAGATACTTGGAAATCAATATAATGCCATCAAGCTAGCACAGAATCACCTTATTGAAAAGGGGTAATTGTGTTAAACGTCTGAAAAATAAAGCTCAGGGAATAGAGACACGACTCTTTGCTTGATCTCCACAAACGGATGCAATGTTGGTTCCGTGACTAATGCGTAGTCAACTGACAAACCAACATAATCATATATAAAATCAATGTTGGTGCACTTGCACCGCGGTAAAAAACGGCGCCGTTTCTTTAAGTAAAGAAACGGCACGCCGTTATCATTAACGGAGCGCGCATGTTTGGTGTATTAATTACCAATCTACAGTATCTAAATTGACACTGCCTCACGTATTATTTTTATATTATCAAGTGAAACTGCAATTGAAATAAAATGAAACTATAGTTGTGTTGAAATGAAACTACAATGTATACAAAATGAAACTGAATAACAAAATTTCACATATTTGAGTATATATTACCCAGCGAAACTGTAGTTATATCAAAATGATACTGTAGTTGTTTTGAAATGAATCTGCAGTGTATATATAAAATGAAACTGAATAACATTTCACATATTTGAGTGTATATTATGCAATGAAGCTGTAGTTATATCGAAATGATCATGTAGTTATGTTTTAATGAAACTATAGTGTATATAAAATAAAATTAAATAACATTTTCACATATTTGAGTGTATAAATATCGAATGAAACTGTAGTTATATCAAAATGAAACTGTAGCTGTGTTGAACTGAAACTGCAGTATATACAAAATGAAACTTAATAACAGAGTTACTTTTTGCGAAACGGCGTGGAACAGTGCAAAAAGGGTACCGTTTCTTTTCATTAAACAAAACGACGCCGTTTTGAAACTCGGTGCATAATTGATTATGCACCACGGTGCACGATATAATTTGCTTTATAGATTGGGCTACCAGACTAAATAAAATAATAATAATAATAATAATAATAATAATAATAATAATAATAATAATAATAATAATAATAATAATAATAATAATAGGATAAGAATTAGGAATTGAGCTTTAATATATTTATATAGACTATTATTTGTTTGAAGAAACTGGACTACTAGAAATAATAAATCCCTTACAAGAACAGTTACAGGATATAACTTCCATAATGAAAAATACAGGATGTCAGAGATGGTTTGCTCAAGTAAAGTTGTGATCAAGTGAATGTTTGCTCAAGTGAAGTTGTGATAAAGTGATATCTAAAGTCAAATGATCAAATGATATCTCAAACGAAATGATAGTCATAATCAAGTGATATGTTTCGCAGAAAAAAAAAAAAAAAAAAAAAAAGTTAAAGGAGAAGATTGTTAATATCAATTTTATGTTGGCAATATAATGATATATTTTGGCAAAACATGTAGATTTGGAAAAAAAATTGTCTTTCTTTGAAGTAGAATTTAAAAAAAAAAAAAAAAAAAAAATCTTAGAGGTTAAATAAAAAAGAATGAATTAAGAATCTTGAAGTTCAAATAAAAGTTGAAGTGTGAAATACTTAGGAAAAGAATTTAAAGAAACTACCCCCCCATCTCAAAGAGATTGGGACAATGATTTACTATCTATATAAGCAAAAAGGAATCACCAATTCTTCAATTGAGCTTATATTGAACACCCAAGAGCACCTTTGAGAACTTAAAAGAATTCCTTAATATTGTGTTTTCTTGTAAATCTCAAGCTATTATTTTGTTCTTCATAAACTCTTGTGTTAGACCTTTATAGGTGATATATATACAAGATATGAGAAATCTTGTATGGTCTAAATTCTTATATAGTGATACTAAGGGTAATAATTCATTTAATCTTAAACACCATGAACAGTGACCAGAATACGCAATCTCATTGGAAGAGATGGTTGAAAAAAAATACACAGTGGAACCCTACTGCTCTATATAACATGAGTATGTGCCTCTTATACAGAAACATAACAAAGCCATTTGAAGTGATGCCAGGATTTATGTACCCAAATGCATCTACTCAGTTCCAGCGATCTTCTTCTTCAATTGTTCAATGTCTGTTGCCAATTCCTTCCTACTTGACTGTAAACAAGAAAGAAAGATCAGAAGACCAGTTAGAAACCCCAACAACGGTTCACTCAACGGGGTTGCATCTTTTCCAAAACAAAATCGAGCTGAAATTGGTTCATGTCAATAAAAGATCGCGTGTTGCAGAGCTTCTGCAACACGAATGTTGTTAGGATCAAGCGTTTACCACTAAGCCAAAAGCTATAGCTCGTAGCGAAAGGCGCAACTTTATTTTCTTACAGACCGCCATCACATTTTCGAGAGGCAGGGTGTTGGACTTGACCCTTCACTGGCCTCAGCTCAATAATCCCCCTAGCGGCCAATTGATGGACTTGCCACTTTACCGGCCTCCGCCCAACAAATGCAATAATCAACCATGACCTATGTGTTACGACTCAATAGTGACGATTCTTAGTCATACCTTGAAGAGGAGGTAGCGATAGACAAACCATCCCGTATATCCAAGCCCCACCAATTCCATGATTTTCGGGAGCTGGAGATGATGAATATAGAGTCTTAGGAGATTGTGTTTAATTAATATAGAATCTAAGAAGAATTGAACAAAAGCTGCAAGACAATGTATGGAAATAGCTATTCCTTGCCAAAAATCTGCCTCAAGTGATAATTCAAGGACTAAGGAGTCAACCAAGAGTTAATACCATCTGAGGTTCTCCGAGTATGCCACGTTTAGTCCTAAACTTTCAAATTGATCATATGTGGTCCTTCGACTTTCAAATTTAACCATTCATGGTCCAAGTTAACCACCCTTGGTCCTTCAAGTTTCAAAATTTAACCAGTTGTGGTCCTCTTGAAAGGACCATGGTTGGTTAAAATTTAATAGTTGAAGGACCATGAGTGGTTAACTTGGACTACGAATGGTTAAATTTGAAAGTCGAAAGACCACAGATGGTCAATTTGAAAGTTTACAACTAAACGTATCAAAACCACTATACTCGGAGGATCTCGGATGGTATTAACTCAGTCAACCAAGAAGCGAGGCCAAAGAACTTAGTGGCCTACCAAAGGAATTGAGTTAATAGCACCAACAACAGTTGCAGAGAGCCAAACTGCAACAATTGCCCCAGCTCCATAAACAATTACGGTAGATTTGTTTTCAATAGCATCCCACTACAAATATTAGCAGAAAAACGAGAAATAAGTTAGATGTAAACTAGAACTCGATTAAGAAATGCCATACCAACCTAAAAGCAGGTAGTACTCTTAGATTCTAATACCCAATTCAAAAGCATTTAAGGAGTTCAAACAGACTGAATAGCAGACAGGAAAAGTTTGGTCTTGCAAAAGGGCACTCAGTTCACCTTTTCTTTTAGATCAGTTAGCAGCTCATTAGGATCAACTGATGTATCCTCTGATGAAGTGGCTTTGACCTGGAGCAGTGAAGACCTCTTGGGTTCTGTTCAAAAATTAGAATTAGAAACATCAACAGTTTGCTCCCATCCACCTTGAATATAGATTTGGTCGGAATTTTTACTGGGAACTTCTGAGAATCATTAGAAAAGTTTGGCTAGTAATTGCAATCTTCACTTCCTAATTTCAATTTCAACTCCATTTTTCTCCTAGCATTTTCTAGTAGATAACATCATTATTCAAAAAGTAAAGCTCTTGCCATATGTTTCTTAATAGCATTCAAGCCAGAAATATCCCACAATTTTGATCTAAAATTTCAAGAAATCAGAAAAGTGAACTTCTTGAGAAAAATGCGATATTGTGTGTATCAAGTTACACTCTACTTAGGCTAAAGAATTGAAAACTGGGTATCATCGATTCACCATTCCAAGTTCAATTTCCTAATATCGATTGAATTTTAACTTCAAAAGTTGCCGTCTTTCCCCCAATACAAAGAAGTCAACTACCCCTTCTCCCCAAAAGTAGCAGAAAAAAGAAGAGATGACCTGCAAGTTTGAGAAAGGCCGTGTTAGAGAGTCGCGGCGGCAAGTAAGGCATGGCGGAGCGGCGAGCTGGGGTGGAGCAAACAGGGAATCTTGGTCGGAAGACGGCCGCGGCCGCCATGGAAGTGGAAGCTACCGCCGCTGCCATTTGTTTGGATGTGGGTGTTTTTGAATGGCCTCAATCCAGCGGAATTGAAATGAAAAATGAAAGCCTTTTTGCTCTTCTGTTTAATCTTTCAAAAAGAAGAGATTTTTTGTGGGCGCTCCTCCTCGGCCTCTATATCCACAACATTTCCACTTTTCTTCAGGACAACAGAAATTGATCTCACAGCTGACACGTGGACGCCTTCATCTTTCTGATTGGTTCACTCCCTATCTTCAAATCCATGTGTCCTCCATTCTCACTTCTCACTAATCCTCAACAATTTCATTCTTTGCATAATATTCTTACTTCTATATTGAATTCTAAGAAAAATTGAATATTAGTATAGGATTTCTTTGCCTAAAATTCTTACATTACATGCTCATACACAACTAAGTAAATAAGAAATGTTAACTTAGTGTGCCCGCTACGCACACGCGCCATGACTATTATGCATAAAGCAAATTGTGGCAATATATACCGCCCACGCTTCACAGTTAATTCGCACATACCATATTTGATGCGCACAAACTGCAATTTGGTTTGCACACACTTAAATACGAAAAGAAAAAGTGAAAGGTAACCCCAACAAAACATAAATTGAAACTGAAAAAGACATATTCTAAGATCTATTGAACACAACGAATGTATTAGGGAAAGTAACACAAAAAGTTATTACCAAAGAGATTTATCTAATCAAAATTACCATAAAATATCATAGACTTGGTAACGTGAGGTTAATTCCATGAATTGTTAGACCCATTGATGTAACATAGACATGTGATAATACCTTTAAGTATAAACATCAGAAAAAAATGAGTTATCTTGACGTGGACCATTCAAAAGAAATCTATTGCATGACTTGATAAGAATAGAAAGAATATATTAGCATAGTAACCAAATGAATATGATCAAGGTAAAAACTCTACCACCAAGAAGATTGAATATTAGAATTATAACTCATAGAAGAAACTTTTATTTTAGTAAGTATAATTAATTAGAATATAGCACATCCCCCCCAAAAAAAATAATGATATCAAACGCACAATAAACATTGCAAATTGCACATTGAACATTGCAAATAAAGCATATATATGTCCTACACATAACTGCCAATTTGAACATTGAAACTATGGATATCAAACGCACATACTTCATTCCTAACTTGCATTCACCTTAATTCACACAAACCCGAAAGAAAAAAAAAACTTCAGGTCAAAGCATTCAACAAACTGTATTCACGCACACACACCTCCACTCTGTCACACGCACCCACCACCCAACAAATAATTATATAAATAACACACAAAAAAAAAAAAAAAAAAAAAAAAAAAAAAAAAAAAAAAAAAAATTGAACTGGAAACCACCGCCACCCACACGCTGGAAACCCCAAACCCTGCGCCGAAACTGGAAATGGGTTGAACTACTACCCGAACATATACTCATCCTCCTCCCACTCCAACACCAAAAAATCTGTTTACAAAATGAAAAAAAAAAAAACCAAAATAACTACACGAACCCAAAAAATCATTTAACAAAAGGAAACAGTACCCCTGAATCCTCCCCACCCCCTCGTCAGACTTCCTAAAACCCTGACTACCACCGGCGCACTCAGGTCGCCCCCACCCCCCCCCCCCCCCCACCCCCCGAACATACACCCACTTTCTCCCCACTTTACCAAAATTTTGTTTATTGAATGAATTATTTTATTCTAGATAATAATTAAATTAAAACATTTAATTATGAAAAGATTTTGAAATAAATAATTATATATATATATTGTGTGCATTTGGCTAGTATTATTTGAAAAAAAAAATTGTAACCAAATAATGGTCACTCATAAAAATATTAAGATTAATAATAATGATATTATTTCAACTTATTTTAGTAACACTGCCACTAATATTCAGTATTGTTACGGGTTTAGTTAACACCAATGATTATTTCAGAGTTAAATTTTTTTTTTTGTCACAAATAAATACAATATTTGTTACCATGATTGCTGTAACAACAAAATAATTATTTGTTACAACTTTTTAGGTCACTGATTATCATTTTTGAGTCAATAACAATTCTCACAAATAAGTATAAGTATTGTGACTAAATTGTTGTCACAATAAAATAATTAATTGCAACGATTTTAGTTGTCACTAGATCAATTTTTTGTAATAACATATTTCGTCACCAAATGTACATTTATTGTGACAACTATTGATATCACTCAAATACTACTTTTAGTGTACGTAAACATTGTTACAAAAGTCTTAGTAATTGTGACAACTTTTCAAAAGTCGCCACTACTACAATTGTGACGGAGGATATAGTGACGACTTCAAAAATTGGTTACTAATTTCAATAGTGACCAAAATCGATAGTTTTGGTGACAACTTCTATTATCACTAAATGTGAAATTTCTTGTAGTGATATATATGGATGGATCACATTAGTCCTCACTCTTTACGTGGGAGAATACTCTCACTTGGACCTCCCATGTGTGTATGTGTGTGTGTGTCTGTGTGTTGATGGAGTAGATTTTGTGGGTGAATGGTTGTGTTAGAGGGTATCCTCACACTGGATATTGTTCTTGGCGATTGGAGTTGAGCATTTTGCTTTTCAACCACAAGGTAATAACTCTTCTAAAGGAAATCTAGCCCAAACAAAGGTTTAATTTGGAGAGTGCAATAGCAAAAGTAACTAATTAAAAATATGAGATACTAATAAAGACAAAGACCGAGGGGAATTAGAACTTCAACTAGGATAAGGAACCGTAATCGAATCGGGAATAAGGGAAAGATTCAATTGATTAGATGAATGATGTCATATTAACCAAGGGGAAGCATTTCTCAAGATTATTCCAAATCATTAGAACATTTAAGGACATTCTCATGCCTAATAAAGGAGTCGACACTCACTCTTATCTGACTTCCTTGAAAAAAGAGTCAGCAACAAAGTTATAAGGGGTTGAGGTTTGACTGGCGACCTGAAAAAGGAGTTGACATTTAGTCTTACAGTGTCTCCTTGAAAAAGGAGTCGGAAACGAAGTCCTAAGAGGTTAAGCTTCGACTGGTGCCCTAAAAAATGAGTCAGTGCTCAATTTTGCCACGCCTTCGTGAGAAAGAAATCAACAACGACGTCATAAGGACTTGAAAGGGGAAACCTCCAATGTAAAAGGTTAGAAGTCGCCCTTATGATTACATTCATGTGGCGTCAGCATGGTAAGACACAGGAAAATATTTACAAGATGCTGAGAAGATATTCAAAAGATTCGTTGCCAAATCCGTGCCAATTTTCCTTTAGGAAAGAAATCTTATAACTTAGGAAGGAAATCTAAGGTTGATTCGGGAAAATTTCCTAATCTAAATTTGTAAACTGTTTCCTTTCCTTTTGAGGGTTAACCGTCTATGTATAAGAACCTTTCGGGGGCACATTGTAGGGAGTTCAAACATTACTTTCTGACAATAAAAAATACTCTTGTTTCGTTAAATTAGTTGATTCGCGGTTGTGTTAGCCTTCCAACCGACTACCTCGTAGTCTTAAAACCAACACCTACAATAGTAATTTAACGAACATGTAGTTGTGACTTAATAAAACTTACTAGTTATTTAATGAACATGCAGTAATAGTTTCATGAACCTAGAATAATGATGAAATTGTGTTGGATCTCAGAGGCAGCGCTATGCTTACTTCTCTCCCAGAGGGTTCTTACTTCTCTCCTAGGGGGTCACCCATCCCGAGATTGTCGGAAGTCAAACAGTTCTATAGTACCTGGTTGACATATTCTACTTAAAATCAATTGGTGATAAGTAGGTGAACATTAACCATTTAACCACATCTCTCCATGGTAAGCCACAATGCCATGTCTCGAATCGAGCAGGGGCTGAAGTCGGCCAACTCAGCCGACGCCCAACAAATTGTACTAGTGACTTAATGAGCCTATAGTAATGACTTGATAGACGACAAATGCTGTGTGTCGACCACGGTCCAAAACAACATCGTTGAATTTTATGAGTTAGAATAATGTATATTATGAGTTAAAATAATGTACTTTATGTGTTAGAATAATGTAAATTATGTGTTAAAGTAATGAAACTTCTGGGGTAAGCTAATGTACTTTATGAGTTAGAAGAATGTACATTATGGATTAGAATAATATAATGAACATTATGAATTATAAAATGTATTTTGTTGTGGATCGCATGAAAAAAATTACGTGAAACGACGTCGTTTTTGGACTGTGGTCCACACAACGGTCCACACAATAACTATTGTTGATAGACGTGATTGGAGGCCAATTATATGGTGGACTAGGGTCCATAGTGCACTTGACCCTAGTCCAATACACAGAATTTGACTTTATAAGGTATAAAATTCATATTCATAATGGATAGAATTCATGTTTATAATACACATACACATAAACAAGATATAATAAACATGAATTTTGTGTATTGGACCAAGGTCCATAGTGCATTGTGGACCCTGCCCCACGATATAACGATTGGTCGCTGGGGAATATAACAATGGGTAGAATAGATGGCGATCGAGTAGGTTGAGAAAGTATATGAACAGATACTACAATGTAATAGAGCCAGTAACTTTCAAAAAGATGGCGATCGAGTGTTTTTTTTTTAATAATATATTAAAATTTATTTTTTTTTTTGAATGCATATTCAAATTTAAATTAAGATTTAATTAATTGTAAAAATCTCTCAACCATTCATCTATCAACAAATCAAAATAGTTTACAAAATTCCAAAAGGGATATCCAAGTGGGTGAAACATAATCCCCGTACATGAAAGTCTTGCTATGTTGTCTGCTAGCTATGAGTTATTATACAGAGTGATGATGTGAAAGTGAAATTAGTCCTTATTTATATTATCGATATCTCTTTATAATTTTATTATCATTTTCACATTATTAATCATTTATTTAATCACAATATTCGATTTTTTTTGTTCTTGAGTACTACTGACTTTATTACATTATTGTAATATCTGTTCATCAATATTGGACTTATATATTAAGAGAAATAACGCTTAAACCTAAATAACAATAAACAATATTTAGCATAAGACGGTTGCATGGAATTGTTGTTGAATTTAGCTTTTAACAAAGAATTAAGTATAAATTAATGCAGGCAGCCTTACTTACCCACATACATTCTTAAAAAAAACATGAACTTCAAAAGAACTATTCCAAAGGGCCCCTTTATCTTCCTTTACAAGTGCCAAAAATTAAGGTGGGGGTGGCCAACTCAAATTTCATACAACAGTCCAAACTACCAAAAAGACCCTTTACCTTTTTTTAATTTCCATGACCAACAAATATTCGCTTAATCCCAATCATCATCTCATGATATACAACTCACACCCCTCTAAATCCAACTATATTATATTGCAATTGCAATTCAAGGACATCTTCTCAGGTCATACGCATACACCTTCTTACCTGTTTTTCTTCACCTTTTCTGTTGGCCCTATAATTCTTGCAGTTTAATTTCCACTGGTTCACGAAACTTTCCAGCTGGTTTCGCAGTGTATATATGTTGTTGATTGAACATCAATTAAGATTCTATATATCTTTTTGGGTTTTCTTGAATTAATATAAAGCTAAGGCATGCTAAAGCGATCAGATCGCTCCGGCAATTCTCTTGATGGGATCGAGTAACATTATTATCCTCGCGATGTGTTGTGTGTTATTGTCGTTGCCAGTGTCGCCGCATGCAATTCATGATCCTGATTCCTTGGATTCTTTCATTCGTGATTTTGCATCGTCCACCAGGAAACGCCGCACGGGTAGACTGTACGAGGTTGTCCTTCCGGCTAATTTCTCCGGCATTGAAGCTTCCATTGTGACCTTGAAAAGTGGGAGTCTATGGACGAGAGGGGCTAATTTCAGCTTGTTCGAAATCCCACCAAGAGCCCTGCCATGGCCGTACGTGAGGAGACTTGAGATAGTCTATGAAAATCTGGGAAACTGGTCCTCCTCTTACTTCGTCAACCCCCCCAATCACACGTTGATTTCTCCCGTCATGGGCTTGATAGCCTACGAAGCAAACGGGACAAATGGAAGCTCTGGGAAGATCGAGCTGAACGTAATAAAGGACCCAATTACACTCCATTTCCCCCACATCTCTTTCCCCAATCCTTCCGCGGTGAAATGCGTGGGTTTTCAGAGCAATGGCACAGTTGAGTTCAGCAATCTGAGCCGGAAAAGGACGTGCAGCGTGCGAGGAATTGGGCATTTCTCCCTGGCGATTCCAACTCCGACCCCGCCGGAAAAGCAGCAGAAGAAGAAGAAGAAGAAAAGCTCGGCGTGGAAATGGGGGGTTATTATAGGGTCGTCGATAGTACTGGGAATTGTGGGACTGGTTTTGTTGATTGGCTTCACATACAAAGGTGTTAAGGGGAAGAGACTTGGGAAAATGGAGAGACAGTCGGAAAAGAGCGAGAGTCTGGATTGTGTTTGGGTAGGGAGCAGTAAAATGCCTTGTGCTACAAGTATCAGAACTCAACCAGCTCTAGAGAATGCCTATGTTCCTTGACTTTCAATTCATTCAATCATTATTATTTTCTCCTTTCGATCAATTCCATTCATTCTTTCTTCATCTGTATATACATTCATTCATACATACATACATATGTCTTGTTTTCAATTCCGAGTTCTAAATTCATCAGGCCGGCAGTCAAGTTTCTTCAATTCTTATTATTACCTCCTAAATAATTTGTTTGTTTAAGAAAAGCATGTCTGTTGAGGTGGTCAATAGTGGTTAATTGGGGACATAATTTAATGGATTCTCTATTTTGAATTGTATATCTTTAAGCTAAGCAACCACCCCACACAAATTCAATGCATATACATATAATCTCTACTGTATAATATTGATTACTTGCAACTTGGCAGATTCGGTGTGTACACACAAATATACATATTTTATGGAAAGATTTTGATGTTTTTATTCCAGTTTTCTCATCTTTAGAAACAAAATATGAACAATTTTGAAAAATAAAAACACATTCTATTTTCTTTTCTCAACTACTCTAGGTTGGTTTTATGACATTTGGTCCGTCCAAAACTAGCATCAAAATAATGAGTATATGAGAAATATATGGAGTAAAAAGAATATAAAGAGAATAAATATTTGTTTTATGGAAAATTGCTCCCTTTTTCCCTATAAGTACTCCTCTCTCTCTCTCTCTCTCTCTCTCTCTCTCTCTCTCTCTCTCTCCCTCCTGTAGGACCCTCCACTCAAATCTCCTCGCTACATAATTGACCAATTTCCAGATCCGCTCGCACTCCTCGCTAAACTCTTGGGTTGTTTCTGCTTTCGTCTTTGGTGAGCATTATGTCCTCTTCTTCTTCCTCCAATCTGTCTTAGCTTCCTCCTCGTTTGATCGGTCTTCTTCTTTTGGTGCCAATTCGCCTATTTCACCTTTCGGTCGGCTAGGTATTATCGATCACCCCATTACGTCTACCTTTCAACCATCCCCCTCTACACCTGTAGTTGTACCCTGATGTTCTCCTTCCCCCTACGGCGAACGCTCCTTCCATCTGCCCGACCACCTCGAGCGGTCACCCCTCTTCCTAAACTCCTATCTCGCTCGTTCCTCTCCAAGCAATTACTCCCCCATCTTTGGTCTGCGATCCATCTTCTTCGCCCTTGTCTCCCCTGTTCAGCTCCGAGCAGTACCTCCTCCTCATTTGATCATAAAGACTTTGGTTTCTTTAAGGATATAGAAATCCCCCCCCCCCCCCCCTCCTCCCCCCTTCCTCGGACTTTCATTCTCGACATCGCCAACCTCTGTTTTACCCGAGCGATGCTTGGTGCCTCTGCCGATGTTGTACTAGAAAAATCCCGACTAATCCATAACCTTCTTAAGGGTGGTTACATGGGGGTGTCTTTGCAAGAAATTCGTTATGGCTTTTGCATTCCCGGCCCCCTGCCCTTTTAGACAAGGTCTGTAGATATTTTAGTGCTCGGGTAGCTTCCACCCAACTCCTTCCATGTGCTATCTAGTTTCTTTAGCTATTTCAAGTCACCGTAGTGGGCACTTGATCCCCCGACTATAAGTATATCTCTCAGCGAGATAGTATACAGTTTCCGGATGACTTAGATACCTCTGTGAAGTACTAGAAGGAGTAGTTCATATTCATTCGACTGCCCAGCGAATCTGTTAACTTTCCCACTATTTGGCCTCGGTCATATTATAAACTTGATCGTTCTCCTGCACCGACCAAGGAGCTTGCCTAGCAGAAAGAGGCTTTCTGCGACCTGGGTCTGGTGTAAGTATCCACCTAGTTCCAGTTAAAGGCCCTTAAGAAGGTTGGGCTGCTACCCGATGCGGCCATGGGAGACTGGTCTATGTCTCTAACTTTACACTCCATACCTCTAGAATCCTTTGTGTCAATCACTCACCCTTTCTTCGTTGTTTTGTAGGAAACTCTGACATCGAGCCTGACTCTAGTGGTAATGAGGCTCCACCCGACCAACTGTTCGCTAGCTATCGGCCTGATCGCCAGAGTAGTTTTCCTATCTCCACTCCTCTTGCACAAATCCACCTACAAACAAGCACAGAGATGGTCACCCACTAAGAAGCCCTCCGTGCCCAATTCCACCAAGGAGCCTAGACTTAGTCCTCACGAAAGGACGTCGTCGCCAAGGGGTATGTTGTCGAGACTGTGAGAAACAAGGGCAAAAAGCCCATGACAAAGGTCCCTAAAGCACTACCTCCGCCCCAACTGCTTGAAAAGTTGGGATTATCATCAATTCTACGCTGATAACCACCGCTACTGCTACAAAGAAGAGAAAGCGGACCTGAGCGCTCAGAAAAAGAGTAGGGGAGATCCCGACCGATAGGATAATTAATTAGTCATCGGAGCCGGAGCCACAAACGCTGACTTTGACGGTGGAAGGTTGGTCCGATTCATCCAAGGCTGGCAAACACTACAACTTCAACCCTTTAGAGTGGGTCGATAAGGTGGTCTCTCCTTTTGACCTGCATATGCTTGAAACCACCGAGGACGAGAGTCTTCGCATGCGCCTTACTGCTCCTCTATAGTGTAAGTGTATCTTCTTTGATCGCTTTGATTCTGACTATCTTTTTATGTCTTTTTACAGGCTATCTAGATCAACATGGATGTCCATAAGCGGGCTAAGGTGCACTCCTCCGAGGTGGAGGTTTTCTGCAGCCGCGAGAATGAGCTAACTGAGGAGAATGAAAAGGGGCTCATTTACCAAGATGATCCCTCGTCAAGGTGAGATGAATAGATAAAGTGGACAAAAGAGGCTAAGCGAAACACGAAGCTCTTTCAGGCAGCCAAAGCGGCAGCTCTGCAATCTCAGAAGGTGATAGAGGAGGCGTTGAAGGCAACATAGGAGGGTTAGTGAGAAGGTGAGGATGCTCTTCGGTCTGCCATTGCAAATTACAACTCCTCCAAGCAATTCCACCTGGATGCTATAGTGAGGTCCGAAGGGTAGCGAAATATTGGCGCATAGGTTAGAAAATATTGGTTGACGACTGAGAAGTGTGTGACTTATGTGGTTGGGATGGCGATGGAAGATTACTATACATGGATGCGGGACATGCAGTTGGACATCTACACTGTGAAGAAGGTGAAAGATCCCAATTTCAAACCCTCCGACCACAAGTTACCGCCAGTTCTTCATCCTTGGTCTAAGTGGCATCTAAACGAGGAATCGACTACTCCCATATTATTAGTATTCATATATTGTATTAGTATTAGTTTTGTGATTTATCTTGTGCGTTTGGATATAGATAGATATCTGAATGTGGCAATATATAACACTTTGTTTTCCTTTGATTTTATTTTCGCTTCCGCAACTGTATTGACTTTTCAATCAAATAATTAATGTATTTTCAAAAGTATCTCTGGTTTTGGAAAATAGGGGTTTTATAGAATTGAAGTCTTTAATAACACGATTAACAAACTCAGTTCCTTGATCTGAACGAATCTTCACAATGCTTGCACCTTTCTCATTTTGCAACTACTTCAACAGCTCGGGTAGTAGCCTTTCGGTCTCATTCTTTCTCTTCAATAATAGAATTCAAGTATACTCAATGTAGTCATCTACTGCCACTAAAGTATATTTTCCTTCCACATAAGCTTACAGGGTCAACTGGCCCAAATAAATCCATGTGGAGTATACTCAAAGGTGTAGAGGTTGACTCCATAGATTTTGACTTAGATGAAGATTTGATTTGTTTAACCTTTTGACAGGCTTCACAAACCCTATCCTTATTATACGTCACATTTGGTAGTCCCTCTACCAAATCTCCTCTTGCTAGCTTGTTGATTGCCTTAAAGTTGAGATGGTTTAACTTATTATTATGTCAGGTTTCAATTTCCTTTGGCTACTAGGCAAACATTCAGTTTAGCTTAATCCCAATCAACCACATACATGTTCTTCCTCCTCCTTGCTGAAAGAACGACTTCCTTGGTTTCTTCATTGATGATGTAGCAGTCATTCTTGGAGAATTCAACTTTGTAGCCCATGTCATATAACTGACTTGTACTTAGAAGATTGAACATCAAGCCTTCAATATGACATGTCCATGCATGATAGTCAATCAGTTATTCAAAATATCACCAATCCCTTTTGTTTGACCATTCACCTCACGACAAAAAATAATATTCGGACCATTAATTGTTTGGTAGTTGCACATATTCGAGTTATCTCCGATTATATATATGAGTATATGAGAAATATAAAGAGAATATAGAGAGAATAAATATTTGTATTATGAAAAATTATTCCCTATTTCCCCATGTATGGGATCTATTTATACAAACCGGATAAAAGCCCTAAAAGAAATAAAAATCTTAAACTGCCTCATATTGGGAGTCCTTGTTACATTAGAAATAGGAAGCCCAATCCTTATTATATTATGAATAGTAAGCCCAATCCTATTAAACTCCTGAATTACTTCGTATTAGGTATCCTTCTAGTGCTCATTCGGCCCAGTTACTTCTTGGATGGACTTATACAATCAGGGCCAGTCATTGTGGTTACCGGTCCAACCAGCTAATATAAGGGCAGTCCAATCGGTAAGCTTAGTATGTCATCTATCATCTAGTCCCCAACTTTCTTGAGATTTCATGAAGTCGATGTCTCGGGAAGGTAATTAAGAATATTCTCCGACCAATTTCCTGCTTTTATGGTTGTCGTTCTTCGGGTTCTGCCCAGTCATGCCGCCCTGTGTTTGGTTCCTTGGCCTCTTGGGTGTTAGCTTCGACCGATCATTTTGATATAGTTTTTTCTTCAGGATGTTTATGACCAGTCTCTCATGGGTGCTGTCGACCAGGTCCCTTTACACTTATCCCTTTTTTGTCAAGATGAATTGCATGAATTCCAGAGAGTAACGGTCGCATCAATCATGGTAACCTGCTAGCCAATGGGATTGTGCCACGTGTCAATAATGCCCTTCTCCCTATAAGTACTCATCTCCCTCTGCTATGGGACCCTCCACTCAAATCTCCCCGCTACAGAAATAACCGATTGGCCATTTTCAGATACACTCGCAC